TAAAGGAATGTACACCTTAAAACAACATTCACTTTCCCGGACGTGGTGACAGAATTGATTCATGCTTGATTATTTGAAAGGGAGCACTATGTTCAGAGCCATGTTCACTTCTTTGCTGGGGGAGTAAATGAGTGCTTTGAAGTTCTATAATGATCCACTGTGTTTCCCATCTCACATCCCAGGTCAGTTTGCCTAGTCTAGATGTGTGTACCAAGCAGTCATCACTGCTTAGGATTTAATACTGTTATTAATGCATCATTATTTTAATCCATTTGTGATATATTTAGGATTATTTCTGGAGATGTTAATTAGGCAACATTGTGTATATTACGGTGATCTTAATGCACCTCATTATGTGCATTTTATGTATGTTTCATTCAGATTTTTTATGCACAGTTGAGTTTCTGGAGACCGTGGCAGACCTTGTGTTAAGAGTATGAGTGTGTTGAGCCTCATCAGTAATGGAAATGGAAAAACCTCAAATGATAATGTAATACATGTAAATTGACTTTATACTATAGTGGATAACACAAGCACTGCACAGCAGAGTGGAGCTTATATCCCCATTCGGGGGGAAATACAGGCAAGACTCCTACTCAGGCCTGGATTATCAAAATAGGCCCTTGGGCACAAATGTTTTGTGGGCCCCTATCTCGAACAATTTTTTGGTGGTCGGGAAATGTTTTATGAAATCCCCCTCTCCATTCTCCCCTCACACTGCTCAAAGGCTCTGTATGTCTACAACGTATTATAAATTTAAAATATAGTATCTTCTAATTCAATGAACATACCTATGTGAACAGTTCTAGAAACAAACCTATTGAATGGAATATGTCTAATGTGGCCGAATGTAACATTCATCTATTCATAATTTAGTTTTTGTCCATTTAAAAAATGATATTTAAACTGTGTAAACTGTTTTTATTGTAGCCAATAAATATGTTCTACTATATTAGGCTAGTACTGTTATTTTCCTCTTCTCCACTTCATCCAGGAGGCCCTGGTTGCATAAAGACAGTTGTCGCGCTGTGATGATGTCATATGATTGCACTGGACTACAGCATACCCTGCAATACAAAATATAACTGTATGTCCCTCATCTTTCATAACATTCATACTATTTATTTAGTGAGGGACAAACCTTGACTTTATCTAAATAGATTTTACTGTATTTCCGAATCTCATTGCATTTATGTATTTAGGAAAATCTGTTAAGTCCAAATTTTATATATATATATATATATATATATATATATATATATACTGCAGTGGCAGTTCTAGAAAATTTTACAAGAAGTGGCAAAGAGGTGGCATGAAGTTTCGTCAGGCTGGCAGTATGAAAGTGCGAGCAGGGGGAGGGAGAGGAGCTGAGGGGTGCAAATTTGAACAGTTGTTCCACTGATCTCCGAATCACTGTCCCCTCAAAGTCAAAGCAGTACAGAAGAGACGTGATTGCAGTGAGAAAGTGAGAGTGGAGTGGGGGGGTGGGTTTTAGGTTGGTTGTGGTATGAGGAAGGGTAGAGACTCTGAACCAAAAAAATCTCTCCCATTAAAGACAAAGCAGTACAGAAGAAACTCATAATGAAAATGTGTGAGGGTGGGGGGATATTGCAAGTAGAATTGTTCTACATCTCCTCTGAAAGACGCAAACACCCACCCCACAACAAGGTGAAGGCCAAAAACGTGGCAGAAATTTTAGGATGGCATCGAGAGTGATCAGTCAGATTCCAGGAGGGGCCCTGGCCACCCATTTTTAAAACCACTCATCAATGCCTGCAACACAATCAAAAAAGTTTGAACAGACATGTTACATCATATTTCCTTTTAATTAATTAGTAATTCTTAATTATCTGGGATCTGAGCATACTACTTGTTGCAGTTTTGCAAGTGGAATATTTGCCCATTCTTGTTTGATACAAGTCCATGGTCATTGTTGTCTGATTCTCCTCTTCATGATGGATCAAACATTTTCAGTAGGAAACTAATCTGGATTGCAGGCAGACCAGTCAAGCCCACACACTCTGTCTATGAAGTCTATGAAGACTATAAAGTGTGTCTATGAAGCCATGCTGTTTTAGCATGTGCATAATGAGGCCTGGCATTGTCTTGCTTAAACAAGCAGGGATGTCCTGGGAAAAGACATCGTCTTGATAGCAGCATGTGTCTCTCTAAAATATCAATATATGCCTCTTCATCAATGGTACCTTCAAGCATATGCAAGTCACCCATGGGCACTGATGCACCCCTATACTATGTCAGATATTTGCTTTTGCACCTTTCATTGATAAAAAAAATCCTTTTGTCATTGGCATGTTCATTCTTCCCAAAAACAAAATGAAACATGGATTTATCTTACCACAGCACATATTTCTACTATCTTTCAGACCATCTGAGAAGAGCCTGGGCCCAGAGAACTTGGCAGTGTTTCTGCATAGAATTGATGTATGGCTTTCTCTTTGCACAACAGAGTATCAAGTTGCATATCTTAATTCAGCGGCAGACTATGTTAAGTGACAGTGGTTTTCCCAAGTACTCCTGAGCCCATGTGCATATGTTTTTTTTTCTTTTTTATTTTTTACTCGATTTTCTCCCCAATTTAGTCGTCTCCAATTCCACCCGCTAGTTAGGACTCCCCCAGTCACACGATGCTATCAACGCTAGGAGGGTGAAAGCTAACACAGGCTTCCTCCGAGACCTGTGAAGCCAGCCACCGCTTCTTTTCGAACTGCCGCTCACGCAACGTCACTGGACAGCCGAACGCGCTCGGAGGAAAGCGCCAACCGCCAGATCTGTTAGGTCAGCTAACAGACGCATGCGCTGACTAGCATCGCGCTGAGTGATGGGGGGAGACGGAGGGGCCATCCTACCCACCCAGAGAGAGCGAGGCCAGTTGTGCTCTCTCGGACTCCCGGCTACGGATGGCTGTAGCATCACCAGGGATCGAACTCGCGATCTCCTGATGATAGGGCCAACGCTTAGACGGTTGCACCACTCGGGAGCCCACATGTGCATATGTTTTACACAATAGCACGACAGTTTCTCATGCAGTGCCGTCTGGGGCTCAAAGGTCACACACGTTCAACAGTAGTTTCCGGCCTTGCTCTAAACAGACTGAGATTTCTACGGATTCTCGGAATATTTTCACAATATTATATAGAGGAGATGGTGAAAGACCGAAATTCTCTACAGTCTTGCATTGAAAGATGTTCTTTTTGAACTGTTTGACAATTATGTCACAAAGTTGACTGTCCCAACTTTAGTTTGAGTAAGTTGCAGACATCAAATTCAAAATTTGTTTATATTTACAAAATACAATGAAGTTGGTCAGCCAAACCATTAAAAGTTATTTCTTTGTACTTTTGTCAGTTAAACAAAAGTTCAAGAGAATGAACAAATCACAGATTTTTATTTTTTATTACATTTTCATACATATATAGGGACCATTATACCAAATCAGTTAAAACGGTAATTGTACTGCTTGAAAAACAATTTCATATTCAGACCATAGAAATTTACAAGGATTATGTTATTATGTATGATCTATTTAATCCCAAGGTATTAATTGAGATAGTAATAAGCTAAATATACACAAAATCATCATTTATGAGTAACTTTATTCAAAAAATGCCGTCCCATATTTTCATGTCACTACAGAAACAGAAGGAGTTTTAGTCCATAGTTGGAGCCTTATTTTAGACACACCCCTGCATTTTAGAGCTGGAAGTAAGACTGCATCCCTGTCCCTCATGGCCACATGGTGAGCAGCTGGATCTTATTGTTTTGAAGTAATGGAATGTCTGTGGAAGTAGAAGTAAAGTCTGAAAATCTGTTTGAAACATTAACATGATCACTACTGAAACACGTTTTCTTCAATTAAGTAAACATATTGTGTTTTAATGAAAAATATTATGATTTAATGTGTGTACAACTGTTCAAAGCTGTGTTTGCTAGTTGTGTACTTGCTAGCATTTTGAGTTATCCCCAAAATTAGCTAAAATTGTCACTACCGAAACATTTGGTAAAGTTTCGGAGGCATTATTATTGTATTGGTAAAAATGGAATGTTCAATCATTTGTTTTGATAAAATCAACATAATTAAGTTCTCTCAAAACAAAAGGATTTAAGCCTAAAGTCCAAGTCAGTTAAAAGTCTGGAATGTGTTTCAGCTCTGATTTTGAGCCAATGCAGTAGAATGATTCATAAATCATATTGAGATATCAAAAATATTGAGATATTCATTTTTAGTCATATTGTCCAGCCCTAGTTGCCAGTGCCACCATCGTTGAGGATAAGAGATCATCTCCGGCCTCAATCTACATATTCCATAATCTGACAGAATAGGAACTCTTTAGAAAATGTACATACATTTTGTGGGCATCTGCTATCATCTGCTATCATCTGAACCGTAATATTTGCTTGATAAACCTCTTATTGTATTTCTGACCGTCAGATGATCATTTGGGTGAGTTTAGCGTTTCAATAAACCTGTGGGTTTCGAAATGATGGAAAAGGGGACGGGTAAGGATTGCACCAAGAGGTCAAGCGCGTGTCTTACGGTTTAACCACAGAATATTATAAAACATCCAATTCCGTGTGCGAAAACTGGTAATTTCCAGTGTGTTGTTTTTATAAACAAGGGCACCTTGTGGGAGGAAGGAAGCTCCAGAAGCCTGCGCCCATGATGTGGTGTCATGTCACATGCTCTTGAGGTTAAGACGCACACATGCACACACAATCTGGATAATAACTCTGTGCACTTTGGCACATGTGCTAAGCCTCTGATTGTGTTGCCTGTGTGGTTTTCCTACCAGCAGATGGCGAACGTAAGACGCTTACGTAAGCAGCGGCCTCTGTACGAAGACAGAATCTTGATTTCAATTACTGTGGTTATTTAGGGCATTACCACATTTGCCTGTGTCATCAATTTCTATAGGCACTATCTTTGTTACTTTCCAATGTTCACATAAACACTGTGCTTGTGTTTGAGAAATTAGAGTTTGTGAGTTTGACATGTTTATTCCTTCAAAATAAGAACTTTAAAGTTAATGGACTTGCTGTGGCTCAGGTGGCTCAGAGCACCCGAGCATAGAAGAATCTAATAAACGCATGCAAGTAGGTCTTGATAGAGAGCACCATGATAAAGAACACAGTTTATTTATACAGAAAAGATGCATACCAAGTGAAGGCAATATTACATGTTACCTTAAAAACACAGGTACATTAAGGACATTTTAACTACATGGTAGTAACGTTATTCTCTCTTGTCTTTGGTCATCTTTTAAAGTAGGCTTCAAAATGTAGCATACCCTCTTCTAAGTGCTATCAATCTTTCCCCTCCAGTTCAGCTCCTCCAGTACAGTCTGTTTAGATACTGTTCTATATTTGAAGGGTTCCATTCCAAAATACATTGACAGGGATGTGGGAAGGTGTTTTAAGCTGGGGGTCCTGAAAGTTTAAACAGCATATTTGTGATGTAATCGATGGTGTCAAGCGAAATGATTTGCATTTATTCATTTATTCTTTTTGCTAATTTTTGTCAAACCACAGATAACAACATATAAATATAGCCTTATTAACGCACCAAATCACTGATGCATATCATCTCTCTGCTCTCTCATTCTCGATGAACACCCACAGGCATGCGGTGAGATTTAACACTCAAACCCACGCAGAGCGAGAGATATAACGGTTAATATAATGTTATTATAAAAATAGATCGTTATTTTTAAGATGAAAAAACAATATAAGGCTTCTACTGACCATTTTGAGGGTGTGTCATTGAAACATATGCAGGTGGAGGTTCTCTTTAAACCTCAACCTGTTTGTGTTTGATCTCAATTTATTATTATTATTATTCAGAATGTTTTTATTAATGCTATTATTTTTAACAGTGGCAGTCCAGAAATCAGGGGGTGCTGCAGCCCCCTCAGCACATCCTTTTACATTGACATAGACCACTTTCAAGGATTTTTTAAAATGATATACGGTGTTGGGAGTGGGCTTTACACATACACGAAATAACATTATTAATACCACCTTTATTAAAGAAATGAAATTGTGTTTTCCAGGATGCATATTGTACATCAGCTGTTATTCTTTTCAAAAACCTAAATATCTAAAATTGTTACAAATGGACATAAAGCAGAGGGGAACCTAATGATTTCTGAGAACTTAAAAATGGATGTCTGCAGTTTGTAGTACATTTTTATTAAAAGTATTACACGACTACTTTTATTTCATTGTTAAGTTTAGGATGGATACAAAAAGATTAAATTCTTAAAATGGTGCAAAGAATTACCCAATTAGGAGATGTTTTTCTTTGTGGTATCTAGGTAGATATAGCTAAGCTAAGTGAGTATCTAGGTAGATATAGCTAAGCGAGCTCTCCTATTGGTTAGGACTTCATAAGCTGACAAGAAGGCCTGATGCATTAGATTAACTGTCAGCATAATTACAAAGTACCAATTGTGTTTAGATTTCCAATGGGCAGAACCAATTTTGAGAGAAACAACATCACCTCTAGGCCTTCTGGAGGACCTAGATATGTCTCTGACTATGAATATGAACAGCAGCCATATCAGTGGGTTTTTCGAAACGGAAAATAGCAGCAGCAGGTCTATACCAGAGCTCTACTGAGTCACTTTGAAACTGCTACAAGGTAAATATACACTAACATGTCTGTCATAAGCTTCAAGTAAAACAAGTTAGAACTATCAAAAATGTTCATGGGAATTGACTTCAGCTTAGAGCTAACAAGCCACTAAAATCTCATGGGGATGGTAGGAAAAGTTAACATTATTGTAGAGGGTTGTTTTTTCCTCGTGTTTCGTCCAAGTTTTGGCATTATTGGCCCATATAGAAGGCCTAGCACAGCCACGGTTTATGAATGATATACAGCATTTTAGAATGAAACTCTTCGTTTGTAACTACACTGTAGATGTAACGCTGTATGTCAGTTAATGTACCTTGATTTCAAGGATCTTTTATTCCATTGTTATTAATACTGTTGCTTCATAAGAACATATATAAAACTTGTATCTTTAATGCAGAAACATTCATGCTCAAAGCAATTTTTTCCTATTTGATAGTTAATAAATATTTTGAAAAGCTCAGAACAACATTCCTGAAGTTATAAAAAACAAACGAACAAAAAGATATCGCCATTTCCTTGTGTTTCCCCATAGTACTGTTTGATTCAATCAGTACTGTCAAGTGGACAGGAGCGCTGTGCATAGATATGCATAAATGTGTTCAAGAACATCAGTTCAAGACTAATCCAGACTTCATCTATATCACAATAGAGTGGAGATGTCTGAAGCACATGATGATGTCCATGGGGATGGGAGGACTCAAGTGATTGCCATCCAGCCGCAGGTACCTGAGCTTGGGCATGTCATTGGCATCATGCACATCCTCGCTCGGCTTAAAGGGACAGATCTCAGTTCCGTTTAAGCCTAGGATGAGAGTACAGTAATATTTAACAAGCAGGTCAGTGAAATTTGTATGGACAACACATTGATTTCAATAAGCAATTAAGAAAAACTAAAGTCTATGAATGGACTTGACACAAGTGATCAATGAAAAGTAAAAGGCTTCAGTAACTTACTCTCAATATTGTTGTTGTTGAGATGCAGATGCTCCAGGTGACTGTTGAACATTGGAACGGTGCTCAGCTTGTTGTGAGCCAAGTGCAAATCCAGCAGGCTGCTAATATTAAACACCATCTTCGGGAGGCCTCTGTCACTCAACTGGTTGTAATTGAGCCTAACAAAGGCGATGTTCGTGAAGCCCTTGAAATAGTCCCGGGGGATGTCTTCAATGTTATTTCTGTCCAAGAACAACTGAAAGACACCATTGGGTATATTTGTGGGCATCTTCCTGAGGATGTTGTGCGCCAGGTTAAGCTGTATGAGATTCTTAAGATCCTTGAAGATGTTCCTGCCCAGGTTGCTGTCACTGATCCTGTTGTGGTGCAGGTCCAGGAGCACAAGGTGTTCCATCTTGCTGAAAGCTCCGGGGGCAATCTTTGAGATTTGGTTACGGCTGAGTCGTAGCTGCTCCAAGCCAACTGGCAGGTCACTGGGTACTTCCCTTAACTGGTTCCTCTCCATGTAGAGATACAGCAGGTTTGGCAGCTTCCCAAATACTTGTTTGTCTATCGAGCGAATGCGGTTGTTCCCCAGGTTTATCCACTTGAGTTCTGTGGCATTGTTGAAGGAGTCCGCAGCCACTTGATCAATATAGTTGTTCTGTAGGTAGAGATAATGGGTGCGAGACGGAATGATAGGGACTTTTCGGAGGTTGCGGTTCTCGCAGTACAGGGCGTTTGGGTAGGAGGGGGGGCAGAAGCACTCCCTTGGGCAGTCCGCGAATGAAGAAGGTGGACCAAGAATAGGAGGGGGAAAGTCAGTGGGCTCCTGGGGCTCAAGTTCGGTTTTGGGAGCTGGTTTCTTTGGAGCAGGAGGCTTCCTTGTGGTGGGGGGTTTTGGCCTTGGCCTTGGCCTCACCCGCTGTCCAGAGACATCTGTGGTCAGGAGAAGGACCAGCAGACAGCAATATCCAAGCACAGCCTTCATTGTCCTGAGTCAAAAGAGGGGAAAAATAAATTCCATCCTATCAACATTAATATCAGCAACTTGCTAAAAAAAGTCAGCCCTATTACACAGTGGTGGACCCACAAGGCCTTCTAGGCCGTCTATAATTTCGATTTCATTTTCATTTAATAGAATGTAGAATCATCATGCTTGTTGCTCGTGGGTCAAAATCTTAAAATGGCTAAATGAAAATGCAAAATGGTCAATGATCTTTCATCAAGATTTTTTGGTATATTGGTAGATATAGTTAAGCAAGTTCTCCCACTAGTTACAACTTAAAGAGGATGCATGATATTCACCACCAACATAATTAAAGTCACTCTGGGCATCCTACATGTGTCACTGACTGTGTATGTGAGTTGTAGTCTAACAAATCAGCTCTTTAACAATAATCCACTTTTATAAAGTTGTATAATCTAGTAAACTGAAAATAGAAGCATTAACATTTTAATGTAAGGCATATTTCAAGCCACTCTACTCTTGATGCATCATGTGTATTGACTTAAGATACCACTGTATCGTATCAATCTAATTATGTTTTTGTGAATCGTTACACCCCTATGTTCCGTAGTGCAAATATCTCACACCTTTGGGTATGTTTTGACCTTTTACACTTTCTTGCATTCCTATACCATGGTTGACTAATGATATAGGGTGCCATTTACTTTTCATGGGAAAGAAAACATACTGCATGCCAAAGAGACGTGTGTAAGTGCTCCCCTGATACTGTTATGGCAGCCAAGACGTGCACTGCCACACTGAGTTTGACTGGATTGGTACAGGTTTTACAGACTCTTGAATAAACACCCCAGCATTAGATTTTCCAGGTTCCTCTCCAGTGTCAGGGTACAGAGCTCCAGATAAAGGCCCCTTTGTGTGAAGCAGAACCTGAGAGAGGGAGACTAAGTCTCAATGAGGGAAACAGAGAGTCCCAGAGGACCTGGAGATCCTGAAAGAAACCACTGATCACTGGTCACAGCATTGCTATGCTTTCTTCTTCTCCATTCACCACACTTCTGATAGCCTTTCTGCCAAAGTTGGCACAACATCAAAGGTGGATAGATCTCCTGAGGAACATGTGGAACCAAGTTACTGTTATTACCATGAGATATCTCTGTCAAGGTATGTATGGCTGTGCCAAGAAGCGCAAGTTCCAACGCTACTTGCCCCTTTTTCATAATACAAAAAAAGCCTTTTGTTTTTGTGTGTTTGTTATGAATCCTTGCTAGTTCCATGATAATCAACAGGATAATAATGTTCTTTTCCACAATTGTAAGCATTTTATAATGATTTACAGAAGAAGCATTCAGCCAAAACAAAAGCAGGAGGCCATTTTTCTTGCACTGGAATTCAGGGCAGGTTACACAACAAATAACTAGTAAGCTGTGTTCAATCTGCTTCTGTTCTGCTTAAACACAGCATATGTGTTAGTTGGAAGGGGTAGCATTAAAAAAGGTAGCAATGCCAGAGTCATGTGGTACAGCATAGTGCCTTTTCTGGCTGGTTCCTATAAATGAATCGTGTATGATATAGTGGTGGACAAAGTACATAAATCCAGTACTGGAGTAAAAGTAGAGATACCATAGATAAAATAGTACTCAAGTGCTCTATTTATATTTTTATCTGAGTTCAAATACAAAAGCACTTGCTTATAAATGTACTTAAAGCTACACTATGTAAGATTTGGTGATTTGGAGACCTCTCTGACAGAAATATGTAATTGCATGCAGACATTTCAAAACGTCAGCTGTGCTTTGGACCCCTTCCCTTAGTGCATGAATCTGTTGATTGTGCAAGTGTTGAGAGACTATTCAAAGAACGTGCAGCCAAACATTGAAGAATGTGACCTCTGAGGATGTGAGTTATCTACTATTGTCATAATTTGAGACCTAAACATCAAACCAGACCTTATTTTTGAGCTTGTGTTTGACACTTTACAGGACTATTTCAGGCTTTACAGGGTGACATCTAGCAGTGCACAGCATATTTTAGCATTTTCTTTCCTAACTCAGTAATGCTTCCTCTAAAGTTTGCAGCTTTAAGTGTCAAAAGTATTATGAGATATACTAACAATGCAATGGAAATGGGTAATATTTCACTCCCTATCCAAAGTCCTGGGATATTGGGCATCTGATTTTAAAATACTGCACTATGTTACAGCATTTTCTACAATTCTGAAAGCTTGTCAGTGGTGTTTGAGCCTAGTTAATTGCTAAGTGTGATTGGACTATTTATGGGAGGGGTTTAGTGAAAGGTGCGCTATGATTGGTTGGATTTAGTTGTGAGCATGCATCATATTCTTTCGAATATTATAGAAAATCTAGTTTTTATTTTACAGTATTTTTCTGAAAGTAGCTAAAAGTAGAAAAAACGAGTAAAAAGTAAGCTATTGTAATGTTAAACATAGTAGAGTAGAAGTAAAAGTTTCACAAAATGGAAATTGAAAAAAGTACTTAAGTACAGCTATGACGTTCATGTACTTTGTTACTGTCCACCACTGGTAAGGTGTTAGATATACCAGTAGGGATGGGCAAAATGGCAAAAATATAATATCACATTTTCTCTAAACATATATGTGGCTGTTGTGAGCACAAAACCTTATATCTCCAAAATGGTAACTTTACAGGAAAACTTACTTTACTGTTTAGTCAGTTTTCTGTCTTTAAAAGCCATTAACCATGGGATTTGCAACAAGACACCAATTCATTATACTTTACTAGTACTTTTGAGCTCTTGGCAGCCTTACACATCTGTTTTATAGGACACACACATTACTGCCAGATGTGTAATATTCTATCATAAGAATGTAGTGAGTAATGTCAGCTTTAAGAATTAAGGCATTTGAATCAGCATATATATTTGAATCAGCCAATAAATGTCCTTAAATCACTGTGCTTGAGACAAAAGAGGAATTTTGACAGTCTTGGCCACTGAAACAAAAGTGTCTATGAGCAAAAATCAGAGACCATGTGTCTGAAACTTCTCAACAGTTTTTGCCTTGACTGTATTGATGTGTATGATTATGTGACCACAAGAGATTCTAGATCCTGAGTACAGTATGGGTTTTAACAGTCAATTGCAAATAATGAAAATCAGATGTTTGGCTCACACCATCTGGCTGAGTGACAGCTGCCTCATCATGAAGACCAGGCAGGGGTGGGGCGGGGCCTGGGTAGCAAGGGACCCTGGGAAAATGTGGAATTGTTTATTAATTCAGCTGCATGCCTCCTTTAGGTGGGGCCCAGTGGAGAATTGCTGTAAATGAAGATTATTTGCTAAAATGCACGAGAGTCTCCATTCAGTCATAACTCTGCAGACTAACTGTACAAAGTTTCTTGCCATTTGGACAGGCAGTCACTGAAAGTAGACTGAATCACTCGCAGGACATCGAGCCACCCAGCTTGATGTCCTGTGAGTAGTTTAGTTGACTTTCAGTGACTGCCTGTCCAACGATTTTGACACACAGCATCAGAAGATAATGTTCTGATGGTTGGATAGGGTTTCACATCTATATGACATTAGCTTAACTGAAGTAAACAACTTGATGTCTCTGTGCAAAGTTGGCACTTTCTACTAAGCCAGACTTTGTGTACACCAGAAAATATTTAGTTGCTTTCAAACAGGGAGAAACAAATTATTCTTGCTGAGCCAGTATAAACAAATCTGATTTGGGAATTTGTTCCTGGTGGGCTTATTATTGGCAGCTGTCACCACTGTTTTTACTTGCCCTCTTATTTCCTAAGTCTAAAAAAGCTTTGTCTGAAATCAGAGGCTGAAAACAAAGAAGTTCAGCTACAGGCTTAATTGATCCAAGGTCAGTTTGGGCATTCGGATCAAATCATATAATGCAGATTACAGTTTTTGTTCTGCTTAGAACTACTACAAAAGACTAATAACTACTACATATTAGTGACACCTCGTTTTTGAGGATTAGCATAAGAAGGAGCTTTTTCACCCACTTAAAAAAGAGATGATGATGCTGTAATGTTTGGCTCCTTTACAGGATTTATTGGATTTCTTATCCAACAGACAACATTTTTTTTTATTAAAAAAGTTTTAAAAGCTTTCAGATGGGCAAAGAGCAACTTTGGTCTATGTATAACTGCAGTGCATCTGAAATAAAGGGGAATTTGTGATGGAATGGACATAGATGGATAACCTGATGATCTTAAAAGTCAGAGAACTTTCTTTTGAACAGATTTGTAAAAAGAGAGGAAGCTGAAAACCTCTGGAAAATGGTTCAGGTTTTTGAGGACTAAAGCATGTTGCCTATAAAAACCGTAGAAATGATTGCCTCTCCCAGCCAGTGTAAATGTTCCGTTGTTTTACTGAAATTTACAGGTGCTACACGGCTGAATAAACATCAGATAAATCAAGCTTAAACACAACAGTACTTGCCTTTGTTTTGATGCATGGAGACGGAGAAAGCAAATACGCTCTTGAGTCCAATAAGTTCTCACAGAATATTCCTTGAGTGAAAGTACATATGTTCTTTGAGCAAATGCACAGAGCTTGGAGGAGAGTACCAGTCTGGGGCAGAGGGTTTCTATAGAAACAGAAAGGTACTGTGCATGCACCATCGCTTGCCAAGATCCACAGCAACTTTGGGCAACATGTTTATCTGTCGTTTTATCCTGTACAGCTCTACGTTTCTCTGAGTATTCCCACTTTGAATGAAGGATACAACAAGGCATGGTTTCTTACCTGCTGCTGGTACCTGCCCTCGGTTTATGCCTTTTCAAGTTCTCTCCTTCACGCTTGGAGTTTCTGCCTCCCTCTCTTCGTTCTCTCTTCTTTTCCTCCTCTCTCTTCTTTGCTATCCTTGCTGTCCTCTGTTAAGCAGGCTTACTATTGGGTCTTTGCTTCTCTGCTTTTCACTCTAAAGGTCAACAGTGCTCTCTCTCTCTCTCTTTCTCGCCCTCTCCCTCTCTTCCCCCTCCCTCGTGGAAAGTGTCTGAGATTAAGTTCGAATGCCCATCCCTCACAAAAAAGGGATTTGCTCTCATCACCTCATCACAAATGCGCGTGAGGGTGGGTGGATGTGTGCATGGACGGAGGGCTGGCAAAGCAAAAACTATGGAGAGCAACATTCTTATGTTCCGATACTCTTCAGTGCTTTCCAGCACTGTGTTCTGCCCAGTCACGAGGATACTTGGCCACGTTTTCAACAAGCTTCATGTGCCTCTTATTTAATTTGCCCAGTGATCCCACAGAACCCTGGACGGCTGCCTTCCTCCTGGATTTTTACATTGTCCACACCGAAAGCTTGCATGATTTTGCTGCCTGACCTTAACAAATAAATACACTGCAAGGACCCTAATTGCAAGGTTTCCTGTGGGGGCAGATTCTCACTTCCTCTCCTTGTAGCTGAAGGCCTGATGTTGAGAGCCATTAACAAAACAATCTTATAGAGTTTCAGCTGCAGCTGGAAAGCTGATCAGGAGAACACATGGATGTGAGGATGTACACCCCACCCACTTCCCTGAGACCAAACAGCCCCCTATCCCTATAAGTAACGGGTGAAGTTAAACATGGTGGTGGGGCGTATTGCAGCATCTGGACATGTGGCCTGCTTCCTGTGTGCAGTCGGTTGGATAGTTATTTATTTATCTAATTCATTCACTCGTTTATTCATTCTCTTTTTTTTTAAACTTGGATCCCCCCTGTGGCAGAGTGGCACCACTGTTCTGGGAGGGCAAAGTGTAGAAGGACACTTTCCCCACAGCTTTGTTCAGATCAATTCAGCAGTGTTCTTTTTTATTTACCAAAGGCATCATCACAAAGCAGCTTTACAGAAATTTGCGTCACACCAACATGCACAAACTGAGGGCTACAATTGCAGTAAAAACTACCTATTTGTAGTTTTGTAAGATGTTTTGGCATCTGTCAAAAAATGCACTGATATGTGTTGCTGGATTGTTGTGGAGAGAGCAGAGACTGATGTGAGCAGGAAACATATTCAAACATGAAAACTCAAAAGCAGAAACTGCTGTTATTTTTCATAAAATGAAGAAAAACGTGTGAGTCTGAGTTGACCCTCAAGTCTTTGAGGTGCAAGTCTAAGTTGTGTCATGAGTCTCTGTGGTGTGAGACTGAGTTGAGTATCAAGTCTCTAGGGTGCAAGTCTGAGTCAAGTATCAAGTCTATAGTGTGTGAGTCTGAGTCAAGTATTAAGTCTCTAGGGTGTGAGTCTGAGTCTTGTATCGAGTCTCTAGGGTGCAAGTCTGAGTCAAGTATTAAGTCTCTAGGGTGTGAGTCTGAGTCTTGTATCGAGTCTCTAGGGTGCAAGTCTGAGTCAAGTATTAAGTCTCTAGGGTGTGAGTCTGAATTGAGTATCAAGTCTTCAGGGTGCAAGTCTGAGTCAAGTATTAAGTCTCTAGGGTATGAGTCTGAGTTGTGTATCAAGTCTCATGGGTGCAAGTCTGAGTCAAGTATTAAGTCTCTAGGGTGTGAGTCTGAGTTGAGTATTAGGTCTCTAGGGTGTGAGTCTGAGTCAAGTATCAAGTCTCTAGGGTGCGAGTCTGAGTCTTGTATCATGTCTCTAGGGTGTCAGTCTGAGTCGAGTATCAAGTCTGAGTCAAGTATCAAGTATCTAGGGTGTGAGTCCGAGTCGAGTATCAAGTCTCTAGGTTGCAAGTCTGAGTCAGATATCAAGTCTCTGAGGTGTAAATCCGAGCGGAATATCAAGTATCTAGGGTGTGAGTCTGAGTCGAGTATCAAGTCTCTGGGATGCAAGTCTGAGTCGAGTATCAAGTCTTCAGGGTGCAAGTCTGAGTCAAGTTTCAAGTCCCTGAGTTGTGAATCTGAGCGGAGTATCAAGTCTCTGGGGTGTGGGTCTGAGTCGAGTATCAAGTCTCTAGGTTGCAAGTCTGAGTCGAGTATCAAGTCTTTGAGGTGTAAATCTGAGCGGAATATCAAGTATCTAGGGTGTGAGTCTGAGTCAAGTATCAAGTCTCTGGGGTGCAAGTCTGAGTTGAGTCTTGAATATCTTGGGTGTGAGCCTGAGTCGAGTTTCAAGTCTCTGAGGTCTTAGTCGAGTTTCAAGTCTCTGAGGTGTGAGTCTGAATTGAGTTTCATGTCTCTGAGGTGTGAGTCTGAGTCGAGTATCGAGTCTCTAGGATGAGAGTCTGAGTCAAGTATCAAGTCTGAGGTGTGAGTCTAAGTTGAGTCTTGAATCTCTGTGGTGCAAGTCTGATCGAGTCTCAAGTCTCTAGGGTGCAAATCTAAGTGAAGTTCTGAGTCTCTGAGGTGTGAGTCTGATTGAATCTCTTGTGTGCAATTCTGAGTTGACTCTCGAGTCTCTGACACGTGAGTCTGATTGATTCTCTAGAGTGTGATTCTAAGTTGAGTCTCAAGTCTCTGAGGTGTGAGTCTGATTGAATTTCAAGTCTCTAGGGTGCAAGACTGACTTGAGTTTCTGGGGTGCAGGTCCAAGTCAGGTCTTGAGCCTTTAGTAGAAAGTTTCAGTCTTGCTATTTGCCACACCTGTCAAGGTTTAAATTCTTTAAAGAATGGGCATTTCATTACAGAAAAACTTTCACTCTAAAGGACAGAACTGAAGCCCTACATACAGTAAATATGGTGCTTAAAATAAAATGGCAAAACAACTTAAAACAGTTGGTTAGTCAGTAGTTTGTCAGTAGTTTATTAAGTTTTAGAGGAACGTTATCTGTAACTTACTAAAATGTCAAGTAGAGTAGATAACAAAAAAGAAAAAGAAAATAGAGAGCATTTTCCATCGTGACAGTGACTACAGCTGCCTAAACTGACTACAGTACCCATAATGTAATGCCTTCAAACCCCAATAATGTGCATGACTTTAGTAAAACTGAAAGGTGAACCCATATTACATCACTTTAACAGCGTTTTAGGGCCACTGTTAAAAGATTTAAATCAGTAGACTTAGTATCAGTAGAATAAAGTCATAATATTTCTCTGTGCCATTCAAAGAGGACATGTAGTTTCATAGGAGACAATGAGAATGATGATCAAAATGATCGATCCCAAAGAAGTGGAACTCGGGCGCATTGGGTGTCTTCGTTGTTGTCCGTACAGCCAAAAAAGCCCCAACGTGTTATGGGAGCCCACCTACAATCAGCCTACTTTATCCTCAGAATATCGCAAGTTTATTCTTGTAACTTTATGACTTCATTCTCAAAATATTATGACTTTATTCTCAAAATATTATGACTTTATTCTTGAAAAATCATGACTTTATCTGTTTTCTTTAATTAATATTGGTGGTCCTAATTTGATCGTATTTGTTTGTGCTTTTTTTTTTTTCTTCTGGGTGACATTTTGTGAGTCTTAAGTCAGCCCGTCCAGGCTGAGTTGCAATCAGTTAATCACAAGTCATTTAAGGACACGTTAAAGTCAAGTCAGGTCAGCATGCCACTCGAGGGCAGCTTGGGCCCAACTTGCAGAGTGAATTCTTCATTTCATAACAGTACATGTTTTGGTTTATGTGAGACTGAGACACCCACATCGTACAGAGGAAAGTCATCTGCAGGATAAGCTGGTGATGTAGGTGGGTAATATTAACAGTCTATTAGAAAACAGACAGAAAAGCAGCTCCAAAGTGATCTAGCAGCTCTGGAGTATTCTAAGACTCTTGGAGGAGACCACTAGACCCTCAGCTTTACCATGTGAAACTGCAGACTCCCACTTGGCCAGTACGCAGCATGACAACAGTGGAGGGAGTGACGCCTATGAGGCCTGTGAGCCAGTTGTGTCCTCTGGGACGCATGGCCCAGGCAGCTGTCAGACTGGAATTCCAGCTGTGGAGTGCATCTCTTCAGTGAGTGCTACTCCACATGTGAATTGTCAATTGTATCAAAGTACTTCTTGATGAATGTCCATGCTTGTGATTTTCTGGTGAATCTCTTTATTCAAGGTCCGCACTTGGCGTGAAAGTCTAAACATCTGTAGAATGGTCTCAATGTTTGGACGTTTATGTATCTGGTACTGATCCAATAGTGTTTGCCAGCTTGTTAGGAACGGACAAACAGTAACTCAAAGCACAGACACGGCAAGGCAAAAAAGACACCTACAAAACTTACTTCTTTCTATACAAAAGAATCTTCTTGGTCCCTTGAAAGTTCAACAAATGCACAAGAGATATGACTAACCACTGCTTGGCTGATCAAAGTTCAGCCTTAGTTTTCTCAGAATCTCACCAGCACTGCTAAATCAAGCAATGACTGATCTACATTACATAAAACTCTCTGTATAAACGTGTTGGGTGTGACTACTTTCAGTGAGCTCTCTGTATGACTCATTGTGACATTTGTTGTACTTCATGAGATAAATTAGGTCAAATCACCTACCCTTTCAGCAATATTCACACCACGGGGAGCGCGTTTAGGCCGAGAGCTGAGTTTGTTTGCAAATGCTTTCTAGAAACAACAGCATCGATAACTTTGAATTCACAGAAAGCGAATTCAGAGCAGGCATTACGTTGATGTGCTCTCGGCTGTTGTTATGACCAGTTTTGGGGTAGTTATTCAAAAGACCTTAACCCATTACAAGTTACCAATCACTTCTCTCAAACTGTAATGGGATTGCTTCATTTATTTACTTATTAGTTCCTGGAAACAGCATTCTTATTACTTCAAATCTGTTCTAACAGAAGAAAATTCAATAGCTTTTCAGTGGTTTATTTAAAAAAATGGTAAACCTCATTTAAAAGGCCCATCACTGTCTCTGCTTTTTTGAAAACTCAGTAGCTTCCAGAAACAGCTGCATTAAAATACAAAACAAGAAAATGTAAAGCTTACAGAACTGTTCCTGAATGAAAATCGAGGTACATGCAGGGTGTTGCACTTCCCACACTTATGCTGTACTGCTCATTTCAACTGATACAGGTTGCATACACACGCACAAATGATGTTGATGGACAGGCATGTTTTTTTTGGATCATTTAACTGAGTTGGTTCAAGGTTGTCAGAATTGAAAACACATTTCAGACTTTTAACTGACTTGGATTTTAGACTAAAATCA